AGGAGTTGAAGGTTAGTTCGTGTATTTACCAAGTATTTTAAAGGCTTCATTTCAGGCATGTAAAATTGCTACTCAGTCTTGCAAGAGGTTGATTTCAGGGTAGTGTCCTTGATTACATCACCATCTTCTCCCTGACCCCAAATATCTTAATGGGAGAAACTGTAATAGACGGACAAGAGTCCTAGGGGCTCTTTGTTTTGTAGACACAGGGAAACGGCGGGGGGTTTTTTTTTTTTTTTTTTTTTTTTTTTTTCCCTCTCTTTCTGAAACTTGTGCTGTTGCTCTGGCTTTTCATTCACCTTCAGAACTCATTAAATATCCACATATATTTGGCCATATGTATTCAAGGACTCTTAAGTTTTCAGTTTGTCAATCTAGCCTGACAGGATACTGTACTGATTCCCTTTTCCCTTCACAAGAGCCCTTTGTCTGGCCAAGTCCAGTGTTCAGCTCATGTTGAAGCTTGCTATATTGTCTCTGGAGACACTGGCTCCATTCAGAATCATTTCTTCCCTTCTGTTCTCACCTGCATTACCCTTGTCATGTCCACTACTCACTGATGTCTTAAAAGTATGATTGCTGAGTGATTATCTGAGTCTTTCAAGTTCTTGCCATGAAAATATTGGCTTGCTGTCATCTAGCACATTTCACACAGAAGTGGAAGTCACAAACAACTACCTTGAATGGGCCAACAAACCGATTTAATGAAAAATGCTTATTTTTGAAGAGGAGGAAGTAAATACCTAGGTACATATAGAACACAGTAGTTTCCTGATTACCCAGAAAGCTTTGCTTTCTGACATTTTTGTTTTCATAGTTTGAAGGTATTAAGTAGAAAATTCCAGAAGTAAACAATCTGTAAGCTTTAAATCTGATGCTATTCTGAATAACGATGACCTGTGTCTCATGCTGTCCTGCTTAGCATATGAACTGACCTTTGTGCGGCACATAGATGCTGCATGGGCTATCATTCCATTTGTAGCCCTTTTGGTTATGGGACGGACTGCTAGTGTTGCAGCCACCCTTATTTTACTTAGTAATTACTGAGTTCAAGAGTACTCAGCTGGCAATTTGAAAAAGAGACTTGTCAAAGAAAAGTTAGAAAGTGCATTTCTTAAGAAGGGAACAACTCTACTTGTAATAAGAAAATAAAATGCATAATTTGTCATTAGACTGCTGGACTGATATGATTCCTTCTCCTTTTTTACACTAGATAGATTATTTATCTCTCTTCTTTCTGTCTGTGTATAAACCTTTCCATCATAGTTTCCCTATTTAAAGTGTCCCTATTTTCCCCATTTCTCCCTTGATTATTCTATGAGTCCATGTGTAAAACTAAGGGCTACATAACAAGAAACTGCCAGACAGGAGAAACCTTCCTTTGAGTTGTTGGCCAGGGTGGTCCAAGAGCAATCCTTGATTGCCTCCCAGAACTTGAAGGTAAGATCCTACTGCTGAAGACAGAACATACTTCAGACATGGGATTTGGAGCAACGGAGCTGGAACTGACCTGGAAGCCACTTCCCCTGAAGGCTAGCTCTCATAGCTTTGAAAGTGCTAAGGGAGAACATCAATCAATGGTCCAACACCAGCTTCAAGACCAAATAACCACATCAATGACCAGCACAGCTTACGACATTGGTGCAGTAGTGGCACTTTTATTTTGGGGGCAATCAACAGCTATCTAATTGGACTAATAGCCCACTTAATGGGAGGAAACTCATGTGTGGTACTGTAATCATAGCCAAATACAGATGACTGTAGAAGTCATAGATCTTAGTGAAAACCTCAAGACTGCCACATCCCTAGACTAATGTAATTTCTTACTTTGTGAAAAATAGGTATCCTTATATTTACAGACAAATATCCCAGTCGTCACTCATCAAAGAAGCTTCTTTTGCACCAGACAGAGACTATTACAGAGTACCACAACTGGTCACACACAGACATTGTCTGTGAATTGCCTAAGCCTAAGTGGCACATCTACAATGTAATCTTTACACCTCAGGCTCACGGGACATAGAACAAGGGGTAAAGAAGACACTTAGGACTATCTCAATTCTCATTAATGAAGCTCCCTCGTGCAACAGAAGGTCAGGAACACAAAAGGTCATAAATGGTCAAAGCATAGAGATTAAGCATTTGCAGAATGCTAATTGTTGGACAGGACTCCTATATTAAACGTCACCCATCCAGGGCTCAGGAACCATTGTGGAAGATGGGGCAGAATGATTGTAAAGGCCAGGGAGGAGGTGCACGACCATATGGAAACAGAGTCCTCCAAGCTCCTGGGATGCAGCTCATATGAACCTACAGCAATGGTGTCAGCATGCACAGGACCCATGCAAACTCAAGCAGACAAAAACCCAGCATAGAACTGGGGAAATGGACAGAAGACCCCAGTTTTAGCTGAAGAAATATTGGCAACTGATTACAAAAAGCTGGTTTTCCAAAAGTAAGGGGCTCTGGCTAAGGCGCTTAGACCACAGTAGATGAACTTGCACTGAGGAACATCTGGGGACACAACTTGACCAAATAGACCTTAACACAAATGACAGATGGCATGAATTCCAGTGGCAGGGGGCTACTCGAGGGTGCCAGAGGGGAAGGGGGTATAAAGATGACTAAGATTGGTTGAGATATTCTCTATGAAATACACAAAAATTCAATAAAAAATAAAAGAAGAAGAAGAGAAAATTTCTGATGAGGGTCCTAAGTCTACAGTCAGAATGAGCCTTCTTCCTGTGAAACTGTGAAGAAGGAAAAAAAAAAGAAAGATTTGTTCTGGATTTGCTGTCACACCTCAAGTTGCAAACTATATGGCCAGAGTCCGTGGTAAGTGATTAGCTGAGGTAGAGAAAGCATTGTCTTGTTGGGCAGAAAACAAGACAGAAAAAGTGATCCAGTTTGTAGCAATGGTGAGGATAAGGCAAAAGATCCCCAAGTAAGTGATTCCAAAGTATTTACTATATGCAAGGGGTAATAACAGAGTCGAAGATGAATCCACACAATAAAATACAAAAATTACCAGGGAGACCAGGTAGGTGGACTTTGATTGAAAGGGAAGATATCACTCACAGCAAATCTTCAGTTGTCATGAAACTGGGCAGTTTTTGGAAAAGATGCTCAATAGATCACATAAGTGTAAAAGAGATTCAAGAGCAGAAGGAAAGGAGGGACAGATTCATTCTGGTACTATGTGGCCATACTGTACCTAGGATGATGTCATATGCTACAGGGCATGAGACAAAACTGGGTGCAGTGTCCAGAGCACAGACTCATCAACTCTCAGAAATAGAAACACCCTGTGTTGTGCCAGCATAATCAGACAATGTAGATGACAGTCACCTTGTTACGGGAAAATACTGACAATCCGTCATGAGTGAAAACAGATGATGGGAGACAAAGGGTTGGAATTCAAGGCCCTGTTAATAACAGATGACTCACTGGGTCTATCCTGAATCTGTTAGCTATGGAAATGTCAAGGTTGTATTTTTAGTCCCAAATACAGCCTCATCGCTTCAGGCTGTCTGTGGTTTCATGTTCACTGAGGGTTTTACAAAGTACCCCATGGATAAGAAGAAACTACTGTATGAAACCTTTGTATCATAAGACCAGTATGATTCAATGAACCTACTTGTCATGCATGTGAAGTCTAAGAAATTTTCATTAAAATTCATGTTTTTTGTATTGTACTAAAAAAGTGAAAAGCCACTTAAAATTATTCAGTACCAATAGAGACAACAATCACTAGAGAGCACAACAATTCACTAACTCATTTTAGTTTATATAAGGAAGTGTTTGTTCCATGATTGCATTAATATAATATTAAGAAATCTTCAAACTTACTACTGTCAAAATAAGAAATGTTCAAGAAAATATTTATAAATTCATTTTACCATATAATTTGTGGTTTTTTGCTTTATTTTTATAAATCTGCTTCAGCATATACTACTGTATCTTTATACCACAAAATATTTAAATACCTTAAATTATTGACTAATGGTACTATTTTTAGGTTTTTATTAAATAGTGAATTTTGTGAATACATTAGTTCATATACAGACATACAAACACACATACTAAACATTGTTTTAAGCCATTATGTAAATTCATGCCAATTAAAATAATAAAATTTCATTTGAAGATTATCACATTATTATTCTAGGTTTTATTTCAAGATTTTTCCTCTAGGTGGCTGTTTTTTGAGACAGGGTCTGGCTGTGTATCCCTGACTGACCTGGTATTCATTCTGTAACCCAGTGTGGCTTTGAACTTGAAATCCCCCTGCCTTAACTTCCCAAGTGCTGGGATTACGAGCATATGACACCACAGTTGGCTAGATTGCATTTGTAAAAATCATCCATGTGATTATACACAAATTATATGTACTTAAAATTTGTTTATTCCATGTAGCAGTCTAATACATGATGCACCATAATTTATTTTACCTTATCTTACTTATATTCTCCCAGTAAGAAGGCCTAGCTCTATAATAACAAGGGCATCTGTCATCATCTGTCTATCATCTATCTATCTATCTATCTATCTATCTATCTATCTATCTATCATCAATCTATCTATCATCTATCACCTATCTCTCTATCATCTATCTATCTCTATCATCTATCTCTAGTTATCTATCATCTATCAATCATCTATCTATCTATATCTATCTATCATCTACCTATTATCTATCACCTATCTCCTATCTCTCTATCATCTATCTATCATCTACCATCTATCTATAATCTATCATTTATCATTTACTGATCATCTATTTATCATCTATCTCTCCATCTATCATCATCTATCTATCATCTAGGTAGCTATCTTCTATAATTTTCTTACCTACCAATCGTCTATCTCTTATTTATTATCTATCAACAGAATCAAGTGCCTAGAACAGTGCTTGGTGTACAGTACATGCTTTATGAAAATTTATTAAGTTAAAAGTAGGTTTTATCTGCCCAGAAGTCTCCCAGGCTTGCAAGACTAGATTAAGTCTCTGTGGTTCTCCCCATGACCCGCCTTAGTGCACTTTTGACCTCCTTGTTCCTCAGAGTGTAAATTAGGGGATTCAGCAGGGGCGTCACCAGCGTATAGAAGAGCGAAATGCTTTTGTTCACGTCCTGTGAGTAACTGGAGGGAGGCTGGAGATACATGGAGATGAGTGTTCCGAAAAAAATGACCACTACCAGCAGGTGAGACCCGCAGGTCCCGAAGGCCTTCTGCCGCCCTTGGGCTGACTTTATCTTCAGAACCGCATGAGTAATGTGGCCATAGGACACCAATATGAGTGTGAAGGGCACTACCAAGAAGAAGATGCTGACAGCAAAGAGTTCAGCCTCATTGATGGAGATGCTGGTGCAGGCCAGTTTCAGTATCACTGGAACTTCACAGAAGAAATGGTCCAGTTGGTTCCTACCACAGAGGGGAACCGTCATGGTCAATGCTGTCTGGATCATGGAGTTGCCAAACCCTGTGAGCCAGGCAGTTACAACCAGCTGCAAGCAAAGCTGGGGATGCATGATCATCATGTAGTGGAGTGGGCAGCAGACAGCAGCATAGCGGTCATAGGCCATCACAGACAACAGGACACACTCCACTCCCCCAAGTCCCACAGCAATGAACAGCTGGGTCACACAGCCACCATAAGTGATGGTCTTGTCCCTGCCCTTGAAGTTGACCAGTGTCGGGGGCATAGTGCAAGTAGTCAAACAAAGATCCATAAAGGAGAGATTGGAAAGGAAGAAATACATAGGGGTGTGGAGGCGAGGGTCCACAATGGACAGCAGTATGATGCTACTATTGCCCAGGAAGCTCAAGAAGTAGATAATCAGGATGACCACAAAGAGAGCTGTTTCCAGCTGAGGCCTGTTGAAGAAGCCCAGGAGAATGAACCCAGAGAAGGTGCTGCCATTAGCTCTGTCCATTGCACTCTATCTGTAGGAAGCAAGAGATCTAACACTTATCTTGAGGCCTAATCTATGTTCCTAGCTTGAATAAATGCAGCTTAATTGGAAGACTGGTCACATTTTTGTTGGCAAGAGTGGGTGACAAATAGCTACTGTCCAGACTGTTTTCCATAGCATCGGCACTTTCTGTGTGTCTTCTTACAAAAGTGGTATCCTTTGTTGAACATATAAGGGCACTGAGCTTCAACAGGCTCAGTTGTTTACCTAGGTCGATTCACCTAATAAATGACAGAGGAAAGTTAAAACTGGCTCCACACCTTGATTTCGTCATTGCTAGTGACCCCATCTTTTTGTGATTTAATGAACTTTAGTTACTCAAGTGTCTCAAAATTAGTCTAGTTTTCCTAAATGATTTATAAATTTGCTATTGTCCTGATTCTTCTATCTTGGATTTTCATCAAAGTATCGAAATATTTCAGGATCGTGCTGAAAAAATAGTGATTTTATGAAAATGCATAGAAAAGGAAACCCGATATTTAACAATTTAAAGTGAAATTATGCATTTTAGTGCATAACCCAATGGAATATGGATGGGTCTCATTGCCTAGAAGTACTTCATTGATTGGAAACATCTACTGCAAGTAGCTTTAGAATTTCTTGTATTCGGACCTAACATTTCAGGGGACCAACCCTGAGTCCTCATCATTGGAACCAGTCAACACAAAAGCTGGGGAGCTGTCAGCCAGACTCTTAGTCTTTTCTTTCACTTTATATTTTTAAATATTTTGCAATGTAATAGAGCAATTTATTTTTTCAAGGTTTTACTCTTCACTCCCTAAAGTACCAACTTCACAAAAAAATCCTCTTTTCTATTTAAGTAATTGATCCTGAGATCTCTCGCCCATCTTTTTCTCTCATACACTTTCCAGGATTCAAATTTAATACTACATAATACATATTTTCAGAGGAGATGGGGACCAAGCCCAGGGCCCCAGCATGCTGAACACATGTTCTATCACTGAAGTAATAACCTCATTATAGCCTACAAAGGGGTCTGGGCACTGGGAGAGGGGAATGAATTAGAACAAAAATATAACGACACATATGTATAAAAATGCTATAAAGAAACCCACTGCTTTGTATTCTAACCAAAATAAAAAATAACTAAAGGCCCAATGAGATGGTTCAGTGGGCAAAGGTGCTGCCAAACCTGAAGACTTGAATTTGATCTCTGGGACACACAGGGCAGGAGGAGAGAATTGGCTCTTTCATCTTGTCCTTGTGACCTCCACACCTGTGCCGTGGCATGTGCACTCTCACGCACACACAGCAATACACTAAGATGCATTTATTTTATGTGAACGTGTGAGCCTGCATGTGTATATGTGCACCACAGGCATGCCTACTGCCTACAGAGGCCAGAGGACAGCACCTCCTGGAACTGGAGTTACAGGTGACTCCTGGGTCTTCTGTAAGAGCAACAAGTGCTCTTAACTGCACAGCCATCTTTTCAGGCCCTCAAAAATTTTTTTTTGTCTTTTTGTTGGTTGTTTTTTGACAGGGTCTCTCTAGTCACAGCCCACCTGGAAGTCACAATGTGAACCAGGTTGGCCTTGATCTCACAGAGATCCACCTGCACCTGCCTCCTGAGGGCTGGGATTAAAGGCACACGCCGCCACGCCTGCCCCTCAAATATTTTTAAAACCTGAAAAAGTTAATTTAAAATGATTCCAGTATTTGACACACTGAAAATAAAAAGAAAGGGGTCTGGATAAATTTGGAAGGTAAATAAAAATATAGAAGCTTAAAAGTGACCATAGGCTAGCTGGGCATGGCGGTGCACATGTAGTCCCAGCTCTTGAGAGGTAGTGGTACAAGGATCAGGAGTTCAAAGCTACCATCAACTACATGGCAAGTTTGAGGCCAGTTTGGGCTACATGAGATCCTACCTCAAAAGAAAATAGCCATAAGTTATTAGTAATGAATTTAGGGATCATGTAACTTTTTAGTTGTTCTGGGGGGAAAACAAACAGCTATTACATAGTTATATTTTCTTCCACACAAGGGAAATGTTTGTGCCCTTAAAACTCATTTTGTTTGGAAATATGCAATTTAATTCCAATTTCCTCTCATACATTAGACATATGCTGATAAACAGTAATGACTATTCAAATTTCAAAGTAGTTTGAAGTGCTGTGCTTATGGAACCTTGTATGGCCTCTGTTAATCTTTTGAAGCATAATTTCTCTATTCATAAAGTTCATGGCTGGCCAAGAATGTACTTTACCTTCTGCCCATTGTGCCATTACCTGTTGGGTTCTGGGTGCCTGATCCCTTCTACTCCCAATCCTTTCTGTGATTAAGTTAGTGGCAATTATTATCATGACAAAGGGGGCAAATAATTTGAAATAAATTCTAAAATGCAATAAAATGGGAGTAAGATACTTGTATTCTAAGTATAAACATGCCATTAATAAGTTTCAAGATTTTAAAGTTTGTATCCCCACTTCAATTTCCCAGCCATTTCTGTTCCACATAGAAGAGATAATATCACTGTCTTTCAGCTCTTTACTGGGACCTGGTGGATTCAATTGCTCTCATATTCTATGTGGATTTAGGTCTTATCAGCATTAACACACTCTCCAGTGACAATGTGATTTGTAATTTGTCTTTCAGCTCACGATAGTTTGTTTTAAGATATCCACAGTTATAAAAAAATGGCTCCAACTTAAGAATAATTTTTCATCATTATTTTTCAAGTGCTGTTAGTACTTACCTTTGCTTCTTCTCTTAAAGGGTCATAAAGGAGCAGTTCCTCTTGCCCACCATGATGCCTAATTGAAACCTCTTAAAATATTTTAGAAGAGTCTGTTATTTCTCTGTTATTCCTTAAATGCCTCATAAACTTAGTCTAGATCATGCATTTAAATGATTTCATTCTTCTCCATGTTGCACAGAAGGTCATCTGAACCAAGAAAAGTACTTACTTGTGAGACATATGTAATTCATTATAACCACAGGAAGAATTAAATTATCATAGGCTGCTTGAAGACACATTTCCATAGGTTGTTGTTAGTTTTCTGAGGCTGCCTACAATGAACAGGAGCATTCAAAACAGCAGAAATGGATTGCATCACAATTCTGAAGGCCACAAGTCCAAAACCAAGGTGTGAGCTGGGTTCCCTCTGAACCCATACGGGAGAATCCTTCCTCACACCTTTTGGTACTTCTGGGAGGTTTGCTGGCAATCCTTGAACGTGTTCCGTGGTTTGTACCTGCAGAGATTCAATCTCTGTCTCCACGTCAAATGGTGTTTCCTTATTTTCTTAGATCTAGTGGTCACACTGAATTAAGGCCCACTCAAATTCACTATAGCATCATGTCAACTTGTTGTATATGCAAAGCAGGTACCAGAGTTTAGGACTTCAGCCTGTCTTCCAGGAGGAGAGATTCAACCTATGAAAATAATTTAATTATGCCTGCCAAGCTGTAATGATTCTTGATTATAACCTCCCACTGCATAGCAGAAAGCCAAAGGTGAAGGCATTAGTCCCATTCCATTCTGAGTTCAAATCTGAGGTACATTATTGACACTATTATTGATAATACTACTTTCTATTGTGTTTTTTGTACAAATCTACAGTAAGGGGAAATGCTGATACATCAAACTTGGTAGGAATACCCAATTAAAATATTTTTCCTATAAGACATCTTAAATTTTATTGATTTTTTTTATTTTATGTGTCTGAGTGTTTTGCCTGCATGTGTGGAAGCGCACATATGTTATGCAATGCCCATGGAGTTTAGAAGAGGGCATCAGATTCCTTGGAACTGGAGTTATGGACAATTGTTAGCCACCATGTAGGTGCTAGGAATTGAACCATAGTCTTCTGCAAGAACAGACAGTGCTCTTAACCACTAAGCCACCTTTCCAGCCCCATGTAAGACATCTTCGCTACAACTGAAAGATATACGTAATACAGATTACACATTTTAAGACCTATGGAATTTTCTTATAGTATTTGGTTTAAAAGGAAAAGAAAACATTTATATCCTTTTTCTTCTCTAGTGCAAGGATAGCCATCTGATATGGAACTCAGTCTTCTATTACAGTTAGAACTTAGTAAACTCATGCACAGGCATAGTTTCTCCACATAGCGTTACTACGTTTCATTGGGTCTAGAAATCAGAAGTGAAAAGAACAACCCAGCTGACTTAGGGAGCAACTGAACCTGTGTTGGATCAAAACCACAGGCTCTTCCATAGATGATCCACAAAGGTTGCAGACATACCACTGCCTTCTGGAAGAAACAGATGGTCTTTGAATCTTTAAGATTGCTGCGTTCATGGAACAGTTAATATCCAGCAAATAAAATCACATGAATGCTAGTCTTCAAATACGGTATATTCTATGACTATCAAATTGTGGGTTCGGTTGAGGAGCTGGAGAACAGGGATTAGGTGATGAGGTAGGTAAAATAGAATTCTTAGGATAAATATAAATCTCACATAAAAGTATGCTTTAAATATTCTGTCCTTAGGATATCCTTGAAAATGGGTAACGATCAAAAGCTACTCACTCAGGCTGTTAAAGGTAATACCTTTACCACTTTAATACTGTTAACATAACCCGTGTTATGCCTAGAATTCCACCAAGAAGAATGTCCATTCATTTTATAATCTGTCAGTGCATAAGGAGTATAAACTGGGGCAGACAATCAAACCTACAACTAAACAGAAGTTGAGTCTGAATTCTATGGAATCTGCCCACGAATAAAGAGGTTACTGCTATATTTGAGGACTATTTTTATAAGCCACCAAAATCCAAGACTGGCTTTAGGGACCCAGATACTTGAGGATAGGTTTATTTTTAGTAGCCCCAAGAGTGTCCTGCTTCATGTAACTCATTAGCCTCTGTTGAGGTATCCAGAGTTTGACTGCCTTTAGGGAACAGATGAAGCAGAAGGATCTGGAGAGGTGATATCAACAGATAATCAATCTTTTCCTGCCAGATTGAC